CATTGGGATAAATTGTAGTCAATGTCATGGGACAAAGTGTATGTGAACTGCTGTATGGAAAGTGAATTTGCTCTGTAAACTTTCACCCAAATCACAATTTAGAAAAAAATACTGAGCTTACAAACCTTGGTTAGATTGTTTTGATAGATGGTGTTCAGGCGGCTCACATAGGCATCGCGTTTTTCTTTTATAACACTGCAATGAAACCTGAGTCATTAATGAGAAATAAGATTTTCCTCTTTCAGTCAATAACTAAAGCATCTGTGCTTGAATACCCATTAGCAGAGAATCACAGACTGTCAACAATGGGTGAAGGGCTCTGAGGACATTCATCTCTTCCCTTGTGTTCATATGCTTTCCCATATGTAGAAGTCCCTATTCTACCCCATGGAGAATGTTCAATTGGTTTTCATGGTATATAAACTTTTTTCTACATAGAAGATAAAGGGAGCTGCTTTGGCATAGCGCTTATCACAGGGCAGCTACTCAATAAATATTTGTTGAATAAATAAATGAATTTGCTAAAAATGTTTTGAAAATCTGATGGCTCAAAAAAAAAAAAAAAAAAATAATGGCTCCCTAAGTTATGAAAGAAAAAAATCTACATTTGGAAATCAAACTCTCTGAGCATTTAACACTCACCTCCAATTGAATTTACTGTCACAACTTTGAAAACCATAATCAACGTGATCATGGATAAATTCAGAGTGGACAGCTGTGTTCCACATTACCTGTAAAAAAAAAAGTGCAAAACAGTACTATATGAGTTTTAAGGGAAGACCTAAATCATGAATGAAATAACTATATACTAGCAAATAAAAAACAAACCTAAATATTTAAAAAGAGAAAGTTCATAAATATGACCAGACAGAATTTATAGTGAGGCTTCTACAATGCTAGGGAAAATTATTTCTGTTAAATTACTTGTTTTTCAACACTATAAAAATAGAATAACCCTCATATTCCTTCCTTTAAAATTTATTATTTAACTTAGGTCCTGTTTTTTCATGTTTTAAGTTTCTTTAAGCTCTGTCCTCTTCCATTCAGTTCCAGACAATAGAGTTACATCTGTAACTTTACAGTAAAGAAGACACCTTTTAGATAAAGTTGAAGACTAAAAATTTTAAAATAATGAATTCCTATTATGTATCCAGTAACTCAGAAGAGCCCTGATGATGCAGTGGTTAAAGTACTCAGATGCAAATTAAAGTTTGGCAGTTTGAAGCCACCAGCTGCTCCATGGGATAAAGATGTGGCAGCCTGCTTCCATAAAGATTTACAGCCTTGGAAACTTTATGGGGAAGTTCCATTTTGTTACACAGAGTCACTATGAATCAGAATCATCTTGATGGCAGTGAGTTTGGTTTAGTTACTCAGTAACTCTGAACATGCTCTTGTTAAGAATGTATGTAATTAAGATATCGGGAACTCGAAGGTTCAATGTTATATCTTGTGGAATATAGCCTATAATCTGTAAAGGCTTTTTAACCTGACTAATCATGATAGAAACTGAATTCAAACTGGCATCCATAACTCTAGATGACAAACTGCTGGGGTTTTTTTGGTCAGACAAGCGTTAGATTCTCCTTTTGATGAGCCTTAGAGTCCTTTGTATCTTCTCCCTTTATGCCTAAAGATGAGTAAATGGATGACTCTGCTAGATTCCTCATCTTAAACAACACATGTTTTATCAACATGTGATTTATCAATACCACACATAAATTACACTATTTTAATAAACATCACTTTAATTGTATCATTATGAGGTATCATATATATATATATATTTTTACATCCTATTTCCATTATTTGTGAGACTACAGCATCAAACACCTTCTGGAAAGGATGGCTCTATATGAACTGAATTGAAGTTTTAGGTTCAGACCTAATCAAGGTGGTAGAGGCCAGCAGACCCATTGTTCTGGTTCCTTTTTCACTGCTTCTTCACTCTACCCTTCTAGAAGGATGAGTTAGTTTTAGGCTTCATTCTCTTCTCCAAAATAAGAGGCAAGTACCACTGATCCTCAGAATGTAAAAGCACTTTGAAATCATTTGTGTGTATGTGTGTCAGGTTGATCCTGACTCATAGTGACCCTATGTGACTGAGTAGAACTGCCCTAAACAGTTTCCAAGGCTGCAAACCTTATAGAAGCAGATCGGCAGGTCTTTTCTTCCAAGGAGCCAGTGGTGGGTTTGATTTGCTGACCTTTCAGTTAGCAGCTGAGTGCTTAATCATTGTGCCACCAGTGCTCCTTTGACATCAGTAGAGCCCTATAAAAATACAAAGTAAGTAAATGTCTACACGTGATCAAAATGGAATGAAACAACACGGGAAGACATATTACAAGTTAAAGCAACTATTCAATATTAAGGAGCTCTGGTGGTATAGTGGTTAAGGCATTTGGCTGCTAACCAAAAAGTCAGTGGTTCACTTGTATTGCACAGGGAGACAGTTCAGAGGGCAGGAGTCCATAGAGGGATGGACACAGGGAAGCGGTAACTATCAGGAGGAAGTGGGAGGGGAGCTGTTGCATTGGGGTAAATTGTAGTCAATGTCATGAGATAAAGTGTATATGAACTGCTATATGGAAAGTGAATTTGCTCTGTAAACTTTCACCCAAATCACAATTAAAAAAAAAAAAATGTCAGTGGTTCAAACCTGCCAGCTGCTCCATAGAAGAAAGGTGAAGCAGTTTATTTCCATAAAGATTTACAGCCTTGGAAACCCAATGGAGGTTGCTATGAGTCAGAATTGACTCAATGGTAGTAAGTTTGTTTCTTGGTATTCCATATTAACCCAGATGTTGTTGTTGTAAGGTGCCGTCAAGTTGGCTCCAACTCATAGTGACCCCATGTACAACAGAAAAAACACTGCCTGGTTTTGTGCCAGCTTCACAATCCTTGCTAAACCTGAGCCCATCGTTGTAGCCACTGTGTCATTCCATCTCATTGAGGGTTTTCTCTTTTTCATTGACCCTTCATTTTACCAAGCATGATATCCTTCTCCAAGGAATGGTCCCTTCTGACAACATGATCAAAGTAGGTCAGATGAAGTCTGGCCATTCTCACTTCCAAGGAGCATTCTGGCTACACTTCTTCCAGGGCAGATTTGTTAGTTCTTTTGGTACTCCATGGTACTTTCATTATTCTTTGCCAACACCATAACTCAAAAGTATCAACTCTTCTTTGGTCTTCCTTATTCATTGTCTAGCTCTCACATGCATATGAGGTGACTGAAAATTCCATGGCTTGGGTTAGGTGCACCTCAGTCTTCAAAGAGACATCCTTGCTCTTCAGCACTTTAAAGAGGTCTTGTGCAGCAGATCTGCCCTGTGTAATATATCGTTTGATATTTTGACTGCTGCTTCCATTGGTGTTGATAGTGGAACCAAGCTATAGGAAATCTTTGACAACTTCAACCTTTTTTCCATTTATTGTGATGCTGCTTATTGGTCCAGTTATGAGGATTTTCATTTAACCCAGATAGTATTTTGGAATAATAAGGTCCTAAGATAACACCAATTCACACTGAAGTTCCTATCATAATAGGTTTAAATATAAAACCATGTTATAATTAATTTATATAATTTATATATTTGCATGACTTCAAATAGAATAGATTCCAAAATTTAGGACCCAAAGGAAAAAAAACAATTAAGGAAAATACCCCAAAGAAAAAAAGACATTTTTCTAAGTCAGAAAAAAATCTATCTGCACTAAAGAACAGATTACAGGAAATCTTTTTGAAATTAAACTCAGGTGTGTGCCACTGATGATATTACAGTATTTGCTTAGATGATAATAGAAAGCTGCCAACTAAAATGTAATCTTAATTACAAAAGGTTGTAAGTTTGGGATTATAACATGCTTTGAAAGTACATTCAAATAAAGAGCTAAATTATTTGCAAGTATAATCAAAAAGCAGCTTGGGAAATAAGAGTTGCTAATTCTTCCTCTTTGTCGTGGGTAAACAATAAGTTCATTCAATGTGATCTGTACAACATATATCACCAGCAACCACTAGAGCAATACAGAGAATTCATGAGGCTACAGAATTTAATGGAAATACTTAAGAAGATTCCATTAATAATCTGGTTTGTTGGCTGGAACTCCTTATGGAGAAAAAATTATCTTGTGCTGATGACCAGTCTGAATTACTAGGCCCAGATATAATCTCATTCACTCTAATAATATCAATGTATCACTTTTAAAAATAAGACAATTCTTTGTGATGTTAGGTAATCATTTCACTAGTTTATCTGGTCACTCCTGAGAAAACCAATAAATTTGAATTTCTGGAATAGCAAAGATGAGGACTAGAACCCAAGTACAAAACAATTTTATCAATAATTTACATTGAACCCAGATAATGTCATTCAAACAACTTGAAAAACAATCTCAGAGTGGCTATGAGACACCCAAAGTAATATGACACTTGCTCACTCCAGTTCAACTCCCTGAGAATGTGTTTCCACCTCAGATATACAGAATCAGAATCCACATTTTCACCAGCTCCCCAGGTGATTCTTTACAGATCCCCTATTATGTATACGTAAGAATCACCTGGAGATCTTGTTAAAATGTGGATTCCAATTCTGTGTATCTGGGGTGGAAAAGGCAAACTCTCAGCAGGGGGTCAAATCAGACTGAAACCATTGAAGCCCTGGGAAAAATACCCTTGTGTTTAAAAACATAAACTACCACTAATAAAACAAACATAAATCCCACAACAATCTTGACACTTCTTTTTTTTTTTTATTTTTTTATTTT